TTTGAAAAGTACCCGGATGTTAAATATGTTCGTTCGTTAATTATTCCCCTCCATGAATGGCCTCCATGGCAAGCACTTCAAATGCCTATCCAAGCTACAGTTATAATTAAAACAAAATTAAACCACTGCAATATTATTTCGAATACAGTTTAGAATATACACAACTATAAATTAAGGCCGCATTTAGGTTCGCTTTAACAGTGATTACATCCACAGATTGACAAACAAATATGAGTTTCAATCCTGTTCTGGATACATTATAATGAGTTTAATTGCACTTATTTTACATGCTTGCCATTTAACTCTTGACTCGACGAGTGACTGATATGTAGATGTTGACGATACCTAGATTAGCGGCGAAATCAACGTTACGTACTACAATGTGATACGCGGTATAATAGGACGTTGATCGTATGACTGTTTCGTATTTTAAAAAAAACGTATCTTCGTCTTACTCCATAAAGCTTTGATAACATCACGATACTGATGACTTGGAATTCATTGTGTGGAGTAATTATTCATATCTAATGACACATTTGCCGGCGGACTATTGACAGTGCACTCGTTAACATTTACCGCAACTGGTTCTACGACAGATGTGACTCTCATATATTGAGGTCACTTTACCATACATACATCCGATACAGTAGTCATATTTTTGTCATTGAAATCTGATGGTCTCATGCCACTAATCAACCAATGACATTTTTTTTCAAGTGGTTGATTACTGGCATGTTGATTTCCCATTTTTGAGCCATGTTTCCAACTTCATATATGCAATTTTCATATAGCAATCTCGTCATATGTTAACATTGTCGTCTATGGAAATTCAATTAGTGGTATGAGCCCTGACTCAAGGTATATGTGGAATTAAATTGTAAATTGGGTAATTCATGCAAATCAGGTAATACGTAAGCACGAACTTAATTTGTTAAGTTGTCCTGCGAAAAAAATTAGAACACACATATAAAAGTCTCACAAAGGTTGTCACGACACACATTGCATTAACATAGTTAGTATAGTTGCATTGTGTGACTCTACATAGAGCTGAGATTTGGACATTATTGCAATTAAACATGGAATTGCTTTGCAAATTTAATTAAATAAAAATGCTAGAAATAACATCACAAATCGTGTGACTTAACATAAAAATGCTTGCGAAGCTTCGGGTTAGTAAATATAAATTGTACAATACCTACCCCCTTCACTAGCCCTAAGCTACGCAGCGTGAGTTAAAAACGATTGAATATTATTGTATGTAATGAAAAATAGTGGGAGTTTTCACTTAGTTAGTAGTGTCATCACTTGATCGATGTAAAGTTGAATGGAAGTTGTCGCAACTTTGTTTAGATACGCATGAACACAAGCGAACGCGCACACGGACAGGCGCGCGTACGCACACATATTACGCATCTTTTATTTTGTCTCGATTCCTTTATGTGGATAAATAATTGCTATAAATTGATAATTATTTTAATATATTATTTTACCATATACATGTCATGCTCTATTATGGACTGACACTTTCAAATCATATTGTTATGATCTGCATACGCCCATTTTGACACAACACTTCTATAAACAGTCGAACTTAATTACCGTTGCATTTTAAATTTACTTTATAGAAGTGAGTCATTCACCATCATATCATGATACAATGGTCTATTTATTTTTCTGTGTTTTGCACTTTTTGAATGAAAATAATATTGTCTGAAATTAATCGTTTTGTTTATCGTCGTTGTCATCTATTTAATTATTGTTCCTGTAATTTGTTTGGTGACCAAATCGTTATCAGGGCTAGATCATTAGTGTTATGTTCATTATTTATTTACAAAAATGGAAAATTGTGCATTCAAATAACGTATTGTGATATTTCAGGTATTGAGATAAGTAATGACCATTTGGTGTTTCGGAGACTACACAAGGTTCGGATACTACACATTAGTTTGTTTCACCAAATTCTATATAAAATATTAGATTATTTAAACTATTATACATTGTAGGTATACACATCCCTGGTCCTCCAACATACAAGAATTTTCATGTTGTATCTTGAGTTTTGATGTAGTAATGCTTCCTAAATGACGTCGACCGTTTTGTACATTACCAGTTTTGTTTGTCACATAATGTGGATCGATATGTATGATTGACACTATATCATATTGATATGATTTGTCATTACACACTAATAACGATTTAGAAAATTGATAAGTAGTTGCTTATCAATCTCATAATAATTCATTAAAGATGTAAACATATGTCATATGAAACTAGATGCTACACCCAAATAAGAGTACAACTGTAAGTGCCTCTATTTATTGACAAAGTTTTGAGTAAAAGCTTGCAATATTCTGAACACATTGAGTACACCAACATAATTTTCAAAATACGCCGCTTTATCT